TCTTCTAGCAAAAACTACAGCTATCTTTTTATTATTATTTTAAGTTTAGTTCTGTTTTAAGGGTTCACGTAAAAATTTGGGCCACTTACGGAATGTTTTACCATCTGTCACTCAGTCTCTCGTAGTCTTTGGCATGAAATGTCCTGAAGTAAATGATAACTGCAGATCGTCCCTGTCAACCCTTTCTTATGTGACTCAATGGGAGCAAGATCTTGGATCTAGTATTGAGGGGGAGGACTGGAACAAGGCCTGGATGATAGTGAAATGCTAATTTAACACTAACATGCTTGAGGCTGCCAATAAAGTACTCCTGCGGTGGTACTGGGTCTCAGCTAGACTTGCCCACTCTTATCCTGGCAGCAGTAATGGATGCTGTATGGGCTGTGGTCAGCGTGGGGTTGTCCTACATACAGTACATGGTGGTCATGCCCACATCTGAATGGCTTCTGGTCCAGGGTCTTTGGCCTACTGCAGACATTATTCCATGTGACAGTCCGTAAGGATGCACAGCTGGCCCTTTTACATTGCCCCATACTGGGCCTTTTCGCACCTCAGCAGAAACTGGCCTTGTACCTTTTTATCCCTGCTAAGTGAACTATTTCCCAAGCCTGGAAGACTCTGTCTGTTACTTTCAAGAGGGCAAAAGCCCGAATGCCCGCTTTGATGGTTAATGTGCAGATGTCCAGCATATTCAAAGATTTGCATGCAACATTTTCGAAAGTCTGGGAACCGTTGATAGGTAATTTCTTCCCGTCCTTGCCCCCTACAATTTATGGTCGACTATAGTCCTCAGTCATACAGGTCCCACGTTCGGGGCACTTGCCCTCTCCTGAGGCTCAACCATCCTTTTTTCTCTCTCTCTCTCCTTCACCTTCTTTGTCTTTTCTCTCCCTTTTTCTTTTCTGTTATGAAGTTTATTACTAAGGACTGCTGTCCTTTAGGGAACGATGTGGTATTGTGATATCTAATTCTTTCCTTGGCCCTTCTTGGCCCTGGTAATGGTGCATTGCTTTGGTATTTATTTACATATATACTGTTATTGTCCCCTGCGTGGACAAACCCTGGCTTGTTATAACCTCTCAAATTTTCAATAAAAAACATAACTAAAACAGAACTAAATGATAACTGCATTCGGTGTTGCTGTCAAAGACCAGTGTATTGTGTCTGACAATTTATTTGTGAAGGGAAAAGGGGTTAAAGAAAAAAAAAAAAAATTAAATACATGTACATCTTCAAACTGCTGTTGGTTGACAGTTATAAGTGTGGGGGAACATGGATTTAAAAAGAACAGAATCAAAAGGCTAGGATCACACATATACAGCTCTGTGAGCCACGTCTTGCGTGAAACACAGGGAAAAGGGGCCTGGCAGCCCGCCCATCCCATACGTTGAATGGGCTGTCTTTTTGCTTATTGAAACACAGGGAAAAGGTCCCTACAGCATTTTTTAAATAGAAATCATCCAAATGTTCATAGATTTTTTTTCAATAGCATCATAAAAATGTTTTTATTTATCTGATATGAATCTTTTGTGTTTTGTCACTAGGCCTTCCAATTGTAATTGTCTTAATAACATTTGGAGCAACCTATACAACTGGGGAACAGAAAAACAATTATCACCGACAAGATTTGTGAGTCACTTTTTTTATTTAACCTTCGGCCTATTCATAGATATGAGATGGCCATCGCTTAATCCAGCTAATAGCAGTCAGATCAGGATGCATTTGTATGTCTCGGAGCATACTGTGACCTCTGCAGACTTTTTATTCTTGGCGGGAATAGATTTTCTCAGATGATCTTGATTGTTTTCTCAAAATAAGGACAATACTTTGTCAGTTTGTACCAGTTTGATGCATAAACATACATGTTTATCAAAATAGCCTTAGGGCATGTGTCAAGAAGCTTTGGGCTTGTGTTAATGGTATCAAGTTCACATCTGTTTCAGACGCTTCCAGGATCATTTAGAAACAGGGGCGGACTGACCATTTGGAAACTCGGGCACTGCCCGAAGGCCTAGGGTCAGTAGGGGGCCCCATGAGATGCCCCTGGTACCTTTTTCATAGGCTTTTTTGAGTTTGGACAAGGACACAGGGGCCCCATGATCCCCTATTCTCCGGGGGCCCCATGAGTTGTCAGTCCGCCCCTGTTCAGAAATTATTGACAAAGTGTGTTTGACCAGCAGTTGACCCCCTTCTGCCTTGCATTTAACCTGCTTCAAGCAGGTTTTGCATTCCCATTGACTTGTATGAGTATGCAAAACCCGCATAGCACAAACAAAAGCCCATCAACACAGGCCCTTACTGTACTTTTTTTATACACATATTGCTTTTAATACCACTATTTAACAGATTTAGGCTAGTTTCACATGGCTGTCAAAGGGTCCGTAAAAACAGGTATTAATCAGTGTTTCTACCCCCCCCCCCCCCCCCCCCGATTGCCCACATTCCATAAGTTCATAATGGCTACTAGTGTGAGTACATATTGCTGAGGCTGTGATTCTTTTAACTCGGTTTGTCACTTGGATCTCAGTTGTGTAGTTTCAATGCAAAATCCCTCTGGCTGGGAAAAAAAAACTGACATTCAGGGGAGGAAGTATTGCCTCCTGAATTACTACAACTAACTTAGAAAAGTTATCAACTGCAGATTGCTTTTAGGAGAGACTGTCAACATGTAAAAGAAGTCTTACATAAAATGGATTCAGGGGTATAGACAGGTTTTGGTCTAAACTACAAGGCTGTTTCAGTCTTATTTCACAAAGTGGTTACTGGGTGGTACTGACCTACCACCAAGATAAGCCTGCTCTCAGTTTATCCATTGTTGTTGAGCCACTCCAGAGAATGAAAAGGTCAAAGGTTCCCAATTTCCACAGAATAATGAGACCATATGTCTCAGTATACATGAGGCCATATGTTTCAGTATACACAAGACACACACACATATATAATTACTCATATACTAACATCATTGATAACACAAAACTACTACTAAGTTACCTGTAAATCAATATCTATTCAAAGCCCACACTACATTCCACCCCTTGATTTACAAGATACTTAGTTTATGATATTCAAGATTATCAATATATAAAACTTTAATAACAAAATGTTATACTCAACATAGGTTTTTTCACTTGTACTCTAATATAACCATTTCTGGCCTCATTAATTTCATCCTTCACATTTTCAATATTATCAGGTATGTATGCAGAACTCTTATCATCATTAAATATGGTCCATCTCCCATATATCCTACCCCTTAGGTATTTTTTACATGTAAATTAATGTATAAAAAGTTTTACATCTTTCCACCCCTCGTCTTATCTAAATTTCTATCTCTTTACCCACTTTCTCCGTCTGATTTACCAATCCAGGAAATCTCATTCAGCTATGTTAGGGCTGAAGAATGTAAAAATTTCCAAATTTCAAAAAAACAAACTACATGTTGGACTAACAAAAGAACACCAAACTTTCCCTTTCATGGAATTCAAAAGCACAGGAGCAGATACTGTATGTCAATCAAACTTTCCTTTTCAAAAGTGTGGAAGCCTATAAACTTTTCAAAGTCCTCCATATCTGGTGATGGACAACAGAGCCTTAGATATCTGATGATCAGATTGGAACTGCAGCACAGCAATTGCAATGCTCTAGAAAAAAAAGTATATTTTATCCTTGGACAATTGCAGTTCACAAGTCATAGATGTGCAGGTACTTGATGATGGAACTTTAGCTTATTTGTACAGATAGTTAGGTATTTGACCATCTGAGCAGATGGAACAGTTCAGGCACTTGACCATCATAGTAGGTGGAACTTGCACGAACAATTCATCCGCTGATAGGTGACAAAGTCTTTATAGATAGTTACTGCTCTCAGAAGCATTTGATTCTGTCTCCAACATGCTTCTGATTAACGTCAAGGCAGGTGTTACCAAAACTGTCAGTCCAACATTCCATAATTAACAACAATGCCCATATAGCCCATTTCTGAACAGGCAAATCAATGATCACTAAGTGGTCTGGCCTAATACTAAAGGAAAAGTCAGTTTCTACGTTAAAGGTGAAATATTACTACAGGAACACCACCCATCTAACACCCAAACTTTGCATAACTCTGTTTCTAAACTGAGTCCAACTATAGGTCACAACTTCAAACTAATTAATGTGTGTGTTTCCTCTTTATACTCTGGTCTCCTCCTACACTCCTCCTACACTCTAAAGACATTCGGGCACGCTAACTGGCTCTTATCTACACTTACCCCAGTATGTGTGTACAAATTACCCATATAAATAATGTGTCACTGTACTCTACATGCCAGTCCCACACCCAAGCAATCAGGGAGGACTGAGTAAAACCAAACCTGGGAGCCTGTTTCATTTTATAATCATTTACCAAGAAAATTTTATGAAAAACTCAATCAATTGTATTGAACATGGTGGCCAAAGGATTGCTGAGTGTCAGATATAACTGATCATGTATATACCATTAGAACACACCTCATCTTGAAAGGCTTGTAAATGGTGTCTATTGCAATAACCTAATTATCTTTGATTGGAAGTATAATGTTAACCAAAATGCACACTTAGGAGAGAACATAAAATTACTTTTCTCCTTAATATACAAAATGATTGCCTTAAATTTAAACTGTAATTCATGTAGAAAAATATACTTCAAATTAAACAACAGGTATGTGTAAAAACCCCAGCTTCAAACCTTTAATGCAGTATCAGCCCTTCTTCCCCTGTACTTTGCACATCCTATGGATTCTGTTTCTTACTCTGTCAGTGGTTTGGCATTACAGTTCCACTCAGGGGCGGACTGACAACTCATGGGGCCCCCGGGCAATAGAGGATCATGGGGCCCCTGTGTCCTTGTCCAAACTCAAAAAAGCCTATGAAAAAGGTACCAGGGGCATCTCATGGTGCCCCCTACTGACCCCAGGCCCTCGGGCAGTGCCCAATGGTCAGTCCGCCCCTGGTTCCACTACAATGATTATGGCAGAATATACCAAGGTACATCAGCTGTCATAATCTAATTCAAGCACACACGTAAAGGGACAATAACATTTTTTTGTAATAATGTTTGCGTTTTTACACCCTGCAAGGCATAAAAAAATAAGTAAACCATCCCACATATGAAAAAATATTACTATTAATTCAACACTAGTGTTTTTTTTTCTCTGTTCAACTTAATCAGAGAAAACTCTTAGATATCCTTCATGCAGCATTGAAATTATTAGTTGCTCTGTTTTACCATCGGTTTCAACAAAAACTTTCATTACATTCACATATTACATAAAAATAACAACAATAAAACAATGCATATTATTCATAGAGGCTGTAATCTTCGTATTTTATTCTTGGACATCATATCATATCAAACAAGATACAGAAACAACACCTCCTGCGCTCTAGGACTCAAACCAAGGGTGGAGGGATCGAAAGAACCTCAAAACAATTCCACCAGTGCTTGGAATGTTGTGCAGCTCTAGAACAAGGCTGGGGAAGCCTGACCGATACTGTGAAGTGAAGCAAAAAGAAGAGCGCACCAACCTTGCGCATTACCTCAGTACCTCAGCTCTGATGAAGAAGGGTCCCCCTTCGAAACGCGTCAGTCTCACTTTGAGAGTCTACCTTCGTGACGTGACTTACACTGGCTCTACACTCCCTAGTTCCTTTGAGGATCTGTAATGCTTGTTTTACTTCCTTGTTTGTAATATATATATTTTATTTAATAAAAACACAGATTTACTGAGGTAATGCGCAAGGTTGGTGCGCTCTTTCTTTTTGCTTTTCTTCTCATCATACCATATTAGACAGGTGGATTGATGCTGTTTAGTACTATCTAGGTGTGGTATCATTAGAGTTCCCTCCTAGAAATAAACACATTGTTAGTATAAAACATACATTATACAAAACATATGGGCAATATTTTGTTGACACTCTATCACCCATATTTATTAAGCTCATATTAATTAATTAAAAATCACCACCTGGATTTTCATTAAAGAACGTCCTTTAAAAGTTGTCATCAATTAACCATGGTTGAAAGGACATTCACAATAATATTTATAGTGTGTTTATCATATTTGTGCACAAAGATTATACATCACCAAATCCATAATGATTTTTCTATCCCAGCCTCTTGCTCAATCCCAACTAGATCGTGGAAACTTCTTAACTTCTAGGAACAAATCTGGTTCCTTCTGTATTAATGGGGAAAACTTTAAAACAATTAGTGTTATATTCTGCAATATCAGACTTTATTACAATTACCAATAAAGAACAATACAAAGTAGATATACATCTCCAGTTATCATTCACTATTGTCCTGTCTTATGCTGCTGGTCTTTATTAGCCAACTTAACATGTAAAATGATTTCTGTGGAAAGGCTGCAATTAGGTTTTTATCTGTGGGCAGAATCTTCTTCCTTTTCCATACCCAGTAGGCTAGAATGGAAGCTAAACATTTAAATAATTATAATAATCATGACTGCTATTCAGAATTGGTAGTGTTCACATCAGTCAGCCATTTTCTTTTCTTCAATTCAAATTATGTAATAAATTACATAGTAAAAACTAACAATTTCACCAGGATATTATTTTGTAAAAATTTTAAAACATTTTCTTTTTCCTTATTAAATCTCTTACATCACCCACATTTGAATATCATGGTATATTAATCATTTTACAGCTGGGGGGGGGAAACTAATGCAAGTTCTCACACATAGGCAGTCTGCAACTGAAGGCTTTCTTACCCTTTCACAAACTCCCAAGACCATTGTCCATGGAAGGGGGTGGGGTGTCACTCATACACACACAAAGCTGTGCTCTGCTACAAAATGATTTTTTATTAAACTAGAACAAAAGCTTTCACTTTTCTCTGCTTCAGTCTCAACACTTTTAACAGAAGTAATCTAACTTATTTTGCACATCAATAAGTAGCATCACTTTTCTGTCTTAATTCAGGTAAAATTGTCACATTTACACAGACAAAACAACTTGCATTCATCATATCATAAGAGCAACATTTCCTCAACATTAGCTAGCTAAACAACAACGGAAAAGCTCAACCTTTAACTTTGTACGTAGATACACACATATACATTACTGCAGCAATCACAATCTGAGCATCAGCACAGGTCAAATTTTCATTCATTTTCCTACCTGTCTTCTGCTCATCATTTTCAAACCTCAAAGAACACCTACATGAGCACCAGCGAAAGGACCACTCTCTCACCTAACGTGGTCATTATTATTATTATACAGAATTTATATAGCGCCAACAGTTTGCTCAGCGCTTTACAATATAATGGGAGACAATACAGCAACAATACAGTTCAATACAAGAGGGATAGGAGGGTCCTGCTCCTTGGAGCTTACAATCTAGGAGGGAGGGGCTAATGGTACAAAAGGTAATAACTGTGGAGGATGGACTGGTTGGAAGAGTAGAAGATTCCAGTATTAGCTGAGGGCAGGATAGGCTTCCCTGAAGAGATAGGTCTTCAGAGATCGCCTAAAAGTGAGCAGAGTAGGCGATAGTCTGATAAATTGTTAAATTGATAAGAGTTCCAGAGGATGGGGGAAGCTCTGGAGAAGTCCTGGAGACGAGCATGGGAGGAGGAGACACGGGAGCTAGAGAGTAGGAGGTCTTGCGAGGAGCAGAGAGTACGGTTTGGGTGATATTTAGAGACAAGATCGGTGATGTAATCTGGGGCAGAGTTATAAATGGCTTTATACGTTATTGTTAGTGTTTTGAATTTTATCTGTTGGGCAACGGGAAGCCAGTGGAGGGATTGGCAGCTCATCAGCTCATCTGTTCCATATCTCAAAAAAAAAAAAAAAAAAATCAAAGGATTGCCATGGGTCTGCTAAGCACACAGTGAGTGGAAACATTGGACCATCTACTGCCTTTGCTATATTTATCCAATTTAAATCAAACATGTCTGCCACTAACCCACAGTACTACCACCAGCACTTCAAGGGTTAATTATTGCAATCACACCAACAATGAAAGAGTTAAACATCCCAACCTGATCGCCATATGTAATAAATGGTTATTACTTAAAGGTTCCTAAGTTTAATCTTTCAGATATGCTGATATGGTATAATAATTTCAGACAAAGTATAAGAATTTACTTCAAATGTAAGTGCAGCGACAAATGCAATCATAAAGTGCTTATGTGAATAGAAGTGCTCATACAATAGTCCAGTGAAATAAATCAAATAAAACATCTCAGATGATAAAAAAACTCTAAAATTCTGAATATAAATAATGGATAGTCTGTGGCACTGCAGGTCACAGAAGTGCCAAGTGATATATGTGTGCTTATTTAGCAATAATGGTGATTATACATAGTCCGTTGCACTACAGGTCACAGCAGTGTTTGTGGAACTACAAGGTGCTGTAATACCAGCTGGGATGCTCAAGACTGCTCATGATCCAACATAGGAATCCACCACGTTGTATGGATGTGCACTCACCAGAACGTTACTTGAATAATAGCATTAATGCTGATCCTTATGGGGGGTCTCAGGAAGCCATAAATAGGGACTGGACTTCTCCAGGGTCAGGGCTTTGCAAAACCAGCAAAGGATCCTCCTAGGGGGAGAAGCTCACCACAGAAGCCGAAGATATGGCAATATAGTGTAGTATTTATTGTAAATAGTTTAAAAGCAATCCAAGTGGATACAACAAAGAGTTAAATGCATAAAAGCATACTAAAATGGCCACTTCTCCCAGCTCCGGCCACAGCAGTGTGACGTTAGCACATAAGGCTCCATGGTATAAAGCGGTATTACAGATGATAAAAAATAGATAAATACACCATCATTCCAAACTGGGGGGGGTTCACAACTTCTTCATTTGAAGTTCCTGGAGGCGACAGTCCTTGAGTCATACTTCAATATGAAACTAACCCCACTGGATCTTTATCTTACAAGCATATATATATATTTCAGTTCCAAAAAACTAGTCCAAACTTGTTTGAGCCACACCACAGAATGAAAAGGTCAAAGGTTTCCAACAGGATAATCAGACCATATGTCTCAGTATACTTGAGGCAATATGTTTCAGTATACACTAGACACACACATATATATATATATATATATATATATATATATTGTGACAGTGTGACGATCTGTCACCCAGGATTCTCAACTAGGCAGGTTGAGGGGCTCCAGGGTAAGTGTTTGATATGGAGGAAAGTGGCTTTTCACTTTCCTCCTTTGTTTGTAACGTCTGTTTTGGGATCTGGAGCCTGGAGATTTCAAAGAGATCTGGGAGGGATGAAATCTCCAATCCTGGGACCAGGTTTTGGGAATGGCCGGGAGACTGATTGCACAGGTGTGTGCAGGCCTTTTCAGAGAGTCAGGATCAGAGTTCTGGGCTCCACCCCGGCAGATAGGAGTCAGGAGGGCTCCACCCCGGCAGATGGGAGTCAGGAGGGCTCCACTTAGAAGACAGGAGTCAGGTGGGCTTCACCTAGGAGAGGTGGAAGCCAAAAGCAGCAAAGGGCTGCTAGAGACTAGCTGTGTGCTAGTGGCCATAATTCTTGAAGAAGTCTGCAGGAGACAGACATCAAGCTGAGTGTAAGCCAGGAGGCTGAATCATTGTTTTGTTTGATGGTGGATACCCCTGTGTGGGAAACTTCTGTTTTGAACTTTCATTTAAATAAAAGTGGGCTAAAAAGGCCCTGAAAAGAAAGCGAGTAGCTGTGTGCGTTTAAAAGCTCTACCACTTTGAAGCTCCCACAATATATATATATATGATTACGTATACACTACCATTATTGATAACACAAAACTACTACTAAGTTTCCTGTAAATCAATAACTATTCAAAACCCACACTACAGTTGTAAATGTTCCAGTTTGGGAGCTCAGATAGTTTAGGGTCTGTTCACACCAGCAGCTGCGTTAGAACGCGTGGTGAGAAGGCGAGATATACTAGGAACAGCACATTGCACAGTAAACTTATTTTCCCTGAACTTAAATGAAATGTCAGTTTGTGACATTTAATTTCATTCAGTTTCATCAGTCGCAGTGTGGTGTGATGCA